CACACACACACACACACACACACACACACACACACACACACACACACACACACACAGCCTCTCGAGAATATGCGTTTTTGCTGGTTGTAGCAGCGCTATAGCATCGCTTTTAAAGGTTTTTGCTGCGCAGCGCTATATCGCTATAGCGCTGGACAGCAAAAACCCTTAAAAAGGGACGAAATATACGTTCATTGACGCATTTTTTTTTACATGTATTTTCAATTTTGTGTGATGCGGAGAACAGATGGTTGAAAAGCATCGAGTGATGCCATGTCTTGAGTCAGTCAGTGCAGAACCATGTACTGTTTTCTCTCTGAATCTCTACTTTTAACATATTTTTAATATAGTCTGCTTACAGACAACCTCTGCAGGTTTTGTAATCTGCTGCATGAATAAAAGTCACCGCCCATTCATAACATATTTACTACTGTTTCCACTACTAGAAATAAAAACACCGAACGGACAATTGGTGAGGATATCCCAAGGCTGTGATTGGTATTGAAATGCTTCCATATGCCAGGCGCAGTTATGCTTGTGTTAGTTGATTTTAAACCTTCTTTGTCATAATTTATTGCAGAGTTTATTGCAGAATTATGAGAAGCTCAGGGGTGAGGCACAGATAGTTCAAGGAGAAGTATTAAAATTGGAGCGTAAGCATATGGAGCTCGCGGAAAAATTTGTGCAAGGATCAGTGCGAGAAGGCGGCCCAAGTCAACGCCATATCCAAGAGTTTTTACGAAAAAATAAAGACTTGGCGGATAGAAGACTGATGAAAATTGCGCAATTTGAGATGATGTGGCAGAATTATGAGAACAAGAAAAAGAAAATGAATGCGCACTGACTGCGTCTGCGAGAAGCATTTTTTCAGTGATTCGGTCTGCTTTTTGGCCGGTTTTATGATTTCCAGTGCCCATCTGCACATTTGTTATTCACTTAGTTTCAATGAATTGTGATTTTTTAATGAATCTTATGCAAGTATGAGGAAAATGGAGATGATTCAATAAAAATACAATTAAAATTCTTTCACGGTTCACTTTTTCTGGGAAGTGAAAACACTAAAAAGTAGCTCGAGAGATAGAGTACTCGCCAAACCAATTATTCGTTGGCAAAGTTGCCAAAGAATTGCCCTCCAAAACGTTACTCATTTGTAAGTAAATGACGTTTCTGATTTATTAGTATGCTCACCATTACTAATTTCCCTTGAAGCAAATCAAAGAATCATAGAGAGGACTAATAATCCCCGCAGCAAAATCGAACAGACTAATTACGATTTGAATTTAGTGTTGTTACTCATTACAAGGCAGTGTAAACGCATGAAATATGTGGATTAGTGGACCAAATCGTCAAGATTAAAAAGCTCAGTACATGTGCTTGCCTCGTTGCACGGCAACACAAATAAGAAATCAGTGGAACTCAGTGGTGCCAGTAAAAGTAGGATGCATGTGAGGAAGATCCTCACGTGAAATTTGTGTATGAGTGCACCGTGCTTATCTGCGTGAGAATGTGTAGTGAATCTGTAACAACCAGATCGACGCGAGGAGGAAATTTGTTCATTCAAGTTTGCGCACAATGTGCAAGAGTTATTTGATCACTATTACAATAACAAAATAGATGAAGGTGCCAGAAGTACCACAATGATAAAACGATAAAATGGTTGAGAAACAGCAAAAATATATCCAAAGAGCCGCCAAATCTTTGAAATGATGTCGATGAATCGTCGAAGATCGAAGATCTTGAACGCGGATACCACTGTTTCTGATACACTCACACCTAAGTGGCATATTCTACTAGTCATGAAATTTGTCTTTTCTCAGCCTTTCATTCGGAATTAGCAGACAGAGATGAAACGCTTCCCCAGTGCTTATTTCATGCCACCTTATCTGATAAAAACAAGAAAGCAGTTCAGCGGTGTTTTTCAAATTCATGAGCTACTTCTAATTCGTAGGGAACGGTTGAATGATACAAAGAAATAGCTTGTTTTTTATGCGCACTTATCACGACAGGATCTAAGAAAAACACATGAAAGCAACATTTTGCATTACATCATCCTTCTGATCTCCACTAAAAAATAGATGATGAAATTGCAACATACACAAATAAAATCCCGCGAATCTCTCCCAATTGATTAAATCTATGATTCCATCAGCATAATTTTCGAAAATCCAGGCTGAAACGCACCAGCCGAGCCGGTGCGATCATGCGTTTTTGCACCAGACTTGAAATAATTTGGTTAACTACATGAGTGGTTGTTTTTCTTTACACCTATCTTGTGCTCTCAATACCGTAACTCATTCTATATTTTGCATAAAAGAAAA